CTGAGTGAGACACCGAGGGACCAGTGCTGCTGGGAAAGAGACTGTGAGAGACTGTTGGCCGAGGGACGGTGGGCTGGGAGAGAGACTGAGCGTTCTTCCTGAACTTGAGTTGTACCCTGGTGCTTCCCTAACAAACCCCGTAATCTGTGAGTTCTGTGTGGCCACTGCAGCGAATTATCAAACCCAAGAGAGAGATGGTGGGTGCTTTGGGAGGAACGGTTGGTGAAAGGCTGGAGGGAGGCAGCATGTCTGGCCTAGCAGGAGTAGGCCTTGGGTTACTGCTGGTAATCCTGTCTTCCTCTCGTGGGATTAGAGGAGGTCAGAACATGTGGCCTCCTTGTCGTTTTTGCACTACCACACTAACAATTTTACATTTTCTCCACGTTGCCACCTTTGCTTGTTTAACAAATTACTTGTTTCCCAGTTAAAATATTAAAAAGAAAAATTGTGATTCTGATAAATGGATTTCTTCCTTCAAATTAACACCATACCTTTTAAGGATTTTCCCATATAACTTCTGTCAAGTCCAAAAGCACCTATGATAAACAAAGGAAAAACACTCAAGAACTGAAAGCCTGAGAAAGCCCATTTAATATTTCAAAATCATGGAGGAGGATGATTTGAGTACCCACTTATCCCAAAGCAGTGGGGACACTGCTACAAATACGATAAATTACAGTAGGTTAAGATGGAACAAAGTAACTTTTCTCTCATTCCCGCTGGTTGGTATTTTACTGAATACCATTTTATGGAGTTCTTGGAGCTAAATTCTCAATGTAAGTTAGCATTGTTTATCTTCCTTAATCTTAAATTAGTTTACCAAAAAGGTACATTGTGAATATAGTAGATAAATTAATTACACCAGAAGCATTTAGAAATTCATGTCTTATTGATTATATTGGTGTAGAATGAAGATAAGTTGAAGACTTTTTAACCCTTTTTCCACATAACTGCTGCTATTTCTATAGCGTGAGGACATCCCAGAGGACACGGGTACTTGTTCCTACATGTGGCTCAGAACATACACAGTGTTCGCAGAGAAGCAGTAAGGGGAGAAAGGCAGCAGTCAGAAGACCAAGTTTGGGATCTGGCTTTACCTCTATCTTTCTATGAAATCTCGGACAAGAGAATTAACCTTTCTGTGCTTCTCAGTTTATTCCTCTATAAAACAGAGTTGATGGGAGGGTCCAGCCCCTAGGGTTGCCAGATCTAGCAAATAAAAATACAGGAAGGCCAGTTAAATTTGAATTTCAGAGAAACAATAAATAATTTTTAGTATAAGTATGCCTCACATAGTATTCCGGATATTGTTGTTACATGCTGTCATGTCAGTTCCGACTCATAGTGATGCTATGTACAACAGAATGGAACATTGCCTGGTCCTGTGCCTTCCTCACAATAGTCGCTATGTTTGAGACCATTGTTGCAGCCACTGTGTCAGTCTATTTTGTTGAGGGTCTTCCACGTTTTGGTTGACTTTCTACTTTACAATGAATGATGCCTTTCTACAAGCACTGTTCCCTCCTGATAATGTACCCAAAATATTTAAGATGATATCTTTCCATTCTCTCTTCTTAGGAGCATTGTGGCTATACTTCTTCCAAGACAGATTTGTTTGTTCTTCTGAAAGTCCATGCTTTATTTAATATTGGCAGCATAGTGCCTAACGCAATTGACCGCTAACCAGAAGACTGGTGGTTCAAACTCACCAGCCATTTCTTGGAAGGAAGGCTGGGTAAGCTACTTCTGTAGTGATACTGCCTTGGAAACCCAAAGAGGGTCACTAGCAGTCAGATTCGACTCAATTGCAGTAGGTTTTTTTGGTTTGCCAACACCATAATCCAAAGGCATTAATTAATTCTTCAATCTTCCTTATTCATTGTCTGGCTTTCACATGCATATGAAGTGACTAAAAACACCATGGGTTGGGTTAGGTGAACTTTAGTTCTCAAGGTGACATCTTTGCTTTTTAACACTTTAAAAAAAGGTCTTTTGCAGCAGATTTGCCCACTGCACTCACTGCACTGATTTCTTGTCTGATACTTCCATGAATGTTGATTGTGAATCCAAGTAAAATGAAGTCCCTAACAACTTCAATCTTATCTCCATTTATCATAATGTTGCTTATTGGTCCAATTTTGAGTAATTTTGTTTCCTTTATGTTGAGAAGTAATCCATACTGAAGGCTATAGTCTTTGATTTTCATCAGTAAGAGTTTCAAGTCCTCTTTACTTTCAGCAAGATTGTGTCATCTGCATATCACAGGTTGTTAATGAATCTTCTTCCAATTCTGAAGCTGTGTTCTTCATATAGTCCAGTTTCTTGAGTTATTTGTTGAGCAAACAGATTGAATAAGTATAGTGAAAGGATACAACCTTGATGTACACCTTTACTGATTTTTAACCATGCAGAATCTCCTTGTTCTGTTTGATGGACTGCCTCATGGTCTAAGTATAAGTTCTGCATGAGCAAAGTTAAATGTTCTGGAATTTCCATTTTTTGCAATATTATCCATAATTTGTTTTGGTCAACACAGTTGAATGCCTTTGCACAGTCAATATAACACAAGTAAACATCTTTCTGGTATTCTCTGCTTTCAGCCAAGATCCATGTGACATCAGCAGTGATATCCCTCATTCTACATCCTCTTCTGAATCTGGCTTGAATTTTTGGCAGTTTCCTGTCAATGTACTGCTGCAATAGCTTTTGACTTATCTTCAGCATAATTTTACTTGTATGTGATATTTATGATATTGTTCAATAATTTCTGCAATCTCTTGGATCACCTTTCTTTGGAATGGGCACAAATACGGTACATTTAATATTTTGGGGCACATACTTATACTAAAAAGTTCTTGTTTTTTTAACTGGCCTGCAACTCTACCACTGATTAAATATATCTGAGACAGTTCTGTTACCCATAAGACACAAAACAAAAAAACCCAAACTCACTGTCGTTGAGTTGAATCTGACTCATAGAGACCCCTCCTTGGGTTTCTGAGGTGGTTGTTGTTGTTGTTATTTGCCGTCGAGTTGGCCCCGACTCATAGCGACCCCTCCTTGGGTTTCCGAGGCAGTATCACTACGGAAGTAGGATTGCCCAACCTTCCTTCCGAGGAGTGGCTGGTGGGTTTGAACCGCCAGCCTTCTGGTTAGCAGTCAAGTGCTTTAGGCACTATGCTACCAGAGCTCCCCATAAGACACTGAACTCTATATAATTAAGTTCCTCCCTAAAAATAAGGGACACATGCCCGGAAGTTGCATCACATACTTAGTGGTGTATCACAGCAGTCCTTTAAGTGTGTTCCAGGGATCCCTGCCCTTTTTCAGGGGGTTTACCTAACTATTTTAATAATAACATTACTCAATTGTTTGGCTTTTTCAGAGTTCCTAGGTGGTGCAAATCATTAACATGCTCAGCTGTTAACCAAAAGGTTGAAGGTTTGAGTTAACCCAGAGGTGCCTTTAAAGAAAGGCTTGGCAATCTACTTCCAAAAATTAGCCAAGGAAAACTGTATAGATCACAATAGGACACTGTCCAACTCAATTGCTTTGGACATTACATCACGATGGATTAATCACTAGAAAAGAACATCATGTTTGGTGAAATAGAGGGTCAATGACAGCATGAGAGATACTTAGTGAGGATGGGCACAATAGCTGCACCGAAGGACTTGAACGTGCTAACAATTGTGAGAATGATGTAGAACTGGACAACATATTGTTGTGTTGTATATAAGGTCATCATCAGGAGTCAAAGTCGACTTTCTAGCAGCTAACAAAAACTCTGAAGATAACTGTAAAAATTAAGTGAGTTAATATATGTAGAACTAGAATGTAAGCTCCATCTTTGCCTTTTTTCATCAATTTCTGGTACACAGTAGGAATTAAATAAATGTTTGTTGAATGAATAACGTACTCAGGGCAGTAATAAGCCCTATAGAGGTGTTAAGTATAATTCTATTATTATTATTGAGATGTACATTTTTAATAAATCACTTTGGCACAGGCATAAATCTTTGACTATTTTAGGTGACTGAAGGATGTTGTTAGTTGCTGTAGAGTTGATTTGAATTCATGGCAGTCCCACGTGTGCAGAGGAGAACTGCTCCATAGTGTTTTCAAGGCTGTGACCTTTTAAAAGCAGATCACCAGGCTTGTCTTCCAAGGCACCTCTGGGTGGGTTTGAACTCCCCACCTTTCAGCTAGTAGTCAAGGCTTAACCATTTGTGTTACCCAGGAGAGGTGCTTTTTCAGACCAGAGTTGGGAGAGCTTACCAAGCTCATTAAGGTAGCCGCCATGTTTCCAGTCTGCTGGAAGCGTCCCTGTGCAGTCTACCACAGGCCCTCTCTTCCCGGGATTCACATTTTTAAGATTCACAAACAGCTGATTGTTCTTTGACTGTTAAAAATATAAACAATAACATATTAAAGAGACTACAGTGCGGCACAGCCTAGTATTGCTGTTCTGGGAAAATGCAAGTCCAAAGCATGTTTCAAGGATAGGTTCTTTAACGAGGCTAAGCCAAGGGGCAGAGGAGTCTTTTTCTGACCTGGTGGGTCTTACAGAGCAGCAGGATACATGCTCCTCACCCCAACTATTCTCCTCATGGCCTCAGGTGTTTTATTTCACTTTGTCAACCCATGCCAACTAGACATCATTTGGATTTATACACATCGAATTTAGATTTTTTTTAAAAAATGGAATCCTTGGGCTGATCTCTGCCTATCAAAAAACAGTAGGATCTTGTTTGAGTTATAGTCATTTTAAGCAGTTTTCCTAGGCATAAACATGAGAATAAGATTATGTACTTTGCCTCTTTACCTGAATTTGTATGAGAATCAATTGGAATGATGAATTTGAAAGTCTCTGGAGAATGTGAAGTGCTATTTAAATATGAGACACTCTAATTAAAATTCAGCTGCATTAATTTAATTACTGCTGAATTAATTTAATTAGCTTGGTTTTCTTCTAACAGAATGGGAATTAGACAATGGAGATTGGATATAATATTTGGGGCAACTGAAGACAGAAATGTTTGGGAATTCAGACATTGTAGGCAAGGCCTGGGGGTGAGTTGGGTGGTACTAGAGGGGCAGTTCTGGGTTCAAGATAGCTCTAGGTCTCTAACCTCTCTGCATCAGTTTCCTCATTTGCAAAATGGGAATAACAATCACTCTTAATTCACAGGGTTTGTGTGAAGAGCACATGTATTTATATTCTAAAGTGCTTAGAAACGTTATGCACCTTGTATTAGGTTGTCACTAGTTGACAATTTTTGACCTACAAAAAATGGCAACTTCATGTGGTTCCCCCAAATAAATGTATATTATTGTTGTTGCTATTGAAGTATAGGTAGTCAGGAAGGGACACTAAAAGATAAATGGTCAGAAAAGATTAACTTGGCAATTTTACCAAAGGGAGATTCTGTTATAGGTCCTTATGTTTGCATTTATGTTGCTATGAGACATTACTTTAAATCTTCATGCCATATTAGAATTTTTTTTTTTTCCCCTAGGAGGTAGAGATAGGGTGTCCTCGTCTCATGCTGCCTCACTCACAAGTTGGGTAACTATGTTTAGACATGACTTAAACTCCTTAACTCACAAGGTTTTGTCAGTAAACTTGAGATGCTCTTACACTTCCTATAGGATTGTTTTGAGGCATATATTAGGTAAGACATGTAAACTACCTAGAAGATCATCTTGTAAAACGGAGTCCTCCATAAATGCTTGCTCCTTTCCTCTCTCCCCTGCTCATTTTCAAAAACTTGAGCATTTTCCCTCACCTTTGCAATGGACATCCTATCCCTGTTGTTGACATGAGGGGATGTGGCACACTGGGTCAAAGTGTGGTAACTGGGGTTGGTGAAGTAATGGCTGTTAGCATTTCCACCATTGTTGTGAGGAAGAGTTTCTGCAAGAGAAGGAAATGGTTAAGATGGCAGGCTTTCCTAAATCTATGTGGAGAAAGGGAAGCAAAAGCACAAGAACAAATGGTTGGACGGCTACCATAACACAAGTTGGGCAGAATCCCCTCCTGTTGAGCATAGTCAGCAAAGCTTCTAAAAGCAGCTGGGACCCGCCTTCCCACCTGCCTCCTGGAAAAGTGTGAAAGTATCCACAGACAATTGCTCTTTGCTTTGGGGCTTGTACAACTTGTTTTGAAACTACTTTTGCTACAACTTTCCAATTTTTTTTTTCTTTTAAGATGCTGATTTCTTAGCACAATAATTCTGCACTAGAAATACCTTACTAAATAAATCATCAACTTTACATATTCTCTTAGAATCAGTGTATTTATAAACACACAAAAACCCTTCAATAATTGCCCCCTAATTAATAAATATTTAAAGTTTTCAAATTCCTGAGTTTAAGTGGTTACTTTTGATGACTGAGTATGTCACTTATACTTCTATACTTTTATGGAGTCTCTTTGTGACAGAAAAGAAGACTCCAATGAATTTTTTGAAGCATAGCCTTGCTTCCCACTAATATTAAACTTATTTCTTATATAACCTGATTGCTGTTCAATTAATGATTCATGTGGGACCAGGGAGGATTGGAAGGGACAGTGGAAAGCACTTAAGGTCAGGGACAAAAATCTCATCCCTGCCTCTGATTTGCTCCATGAGCTTGGTGAAGTTATGCAGTTATGACCTCTTCCATATGCACTACAAATGCTTAAAGCAAAGCTTCTCCTAAGTTGACATTCCTAAGTCTAAAGCAACCCATAATGAACCCAATCTGCTTAAAGGAACCTCTTCAAAGTGTTAAACAGCAAATATGCCACTTTAAAGACTAAGGTGTCCCTCGCCCAAGCCATAGTATTTTCAATTGCCTCATATGTATGTGAAAATTGGACAATGAATAAAGAAGGCTGAAGAAGAATCGATGCATTTGAATTGTGGTGTTGGCAAAGAATACTGAATATACCATGGACTGCTAGAAGAACAAATAAATCTGTCTTAAAAGAAGTAGAGCTGGGATGCTCCTAGAAGCTAGGATGGCAAGACTTCATCTCTCATACTCTGGTCACGTTAACGGAAGGGACCAGTCCCTGGAGCAGAACATCATGCTTGGTAAAGTAGAGGGTCAGCAAAAAAGAGGAAGACCCTCAATGAGATGGATTGATACAGTGGCTACAACAATTGGGCTCAAATATGGCAATGATTGTGAGGAGGGCACAGTATCAGGCAGTGTTTTGTTCTGTTGTACACAGGGTTACTATGAGTCAGAACTGACTTGATGGCACCTAACAATAACAACAACATATAAATAGAATAGCGATTCAACTACTTTTGAGATCTAAAGCACATCTGCCACAATTTATACCTTTTCTAAACATAAGGCTAATTGAAAACAATGACTGATGGAACAGCCCAATGCCTAGTTCACAGGACCTGGATGGAATCTTCTGTACTTTTGAAGGAGCAAAATGTCTCTCATAACTGTAGTCTTACCTGAAATGGTATAATCTGTACTGATGACCCTCATAGCAGGGGTGTAGGTAACCGCTGGCATGTTTGATTCCTTCCCCTTCTGTTTGTGTCTATAAATAATGAACAATGCCAATAGGAAGAGAACAACTAGGACAAGAATGATGATGCCTGCAATGGCCCCGATTTGGTAGGAATCAGCAGGGAGAGCAGTACTGGTTCGGCTTAAGCTGTTCAGATTTCCAACTATTATAACACCAGCTAGAAAAAAGAGAAAAGAGACTCAGATAAGGATGGCAACATGTAGGACAAGTGTTTCATCTCTATTTACGAAAATCTCACACTGTGTGCTAATGCCTAGATATTTTCACCTCATGAGATGTTAATTTGGAAACTTTCATAAATCGAACAGGAGGAAAAAACAAACATTACTCATTTCAGATGCTGTGGGCTTTTCTGTGCCCAGAGAAAGGCTGCTATGAGCCTCAAAAAAGAGACAGGCTTTCCTGAGCCTGAAGATTCAATAGTAGGGTTTGGAAGCTTCTCACATATTTCAGATTAAACACACAGCAACATGGTTCAATCTTAAAATAATGATGCTGAATAAATGAAGCTAGATAAAAAGAGTACAGTATGATTCTACTGACATGCCATTCTAGAAAATGCAAACTAATATATAGTGATAAAAAGTTGATCAGTCATTCCCGGAGGACTAGTGGGCAGTGGTAACTGGGAAGGGCATGAGGAAACTTTCAGGAGTGATGGATATATTCATTTTTTTGACTGTGGTGATGATTGATGTTGTTGTTGTTGTTAGGAGCCATCGAGTCGTTTCCGACTCATAGTGACCCCATGCACAGCAGAATTAAACACTGCCCGATCCCACGCCAGCTCCATGATCCCTGCTATACTTGAGCTCATCATCACAGCCACCGCATCAATCCATCTTGTTGAAGGCCTTCCACTCTTTCGTTGCCCCTCCACCCTACCAAGCATGACATCCTTCTCCAGGGAATGGTCCCTTCTGACAACATGACCAAAGTAGGTGAGAAGAAGTCTGGCCATTCTCACTTACAAGGAGAATTTCAGATGCACTTCCTCCAGGACAGATCTGTTAGTCCTTTCAGCAGTCCATGGTACTT